CCATCTGCTTCACCAACAATCCTTCCTCTAACAAAATCTGACAATTCGAGAGAACCTTAAGTTCTAGGCATGTTGTTGCACAGAATAATTAGTGTGCGGACCATTTTCATTTATATAGTGCTCTGTGAACACAAATTAGTTAGCATAAATCAGTTAAATGACGAAAAATTAGGTGTCTATTTACTTGTGACCACTCAGTGTACATTATATTAACATGTAAAAATAAAAATTACAACCAGGTGGAAGCATTAATTTATAAAGAAGGCAATTTTGATATTTAAATTAGAGAAATTTATTTTTCCTTACAAATGGCTAAAATGCAATTGCAAAAAGTTTTCTATCTTAACATTTTCTGCTAGTTGAGTTATATTTTATTAATTTTTAAGTGTATATATATATATGTGTGTGTGTGTATCAATCCACAATTCTAAAATATCTTAACATCTTTAGCTAAAAGGTTTTATGAACTATTATGAAATTATTGGTAAGTGTGAATCATTAAGATCTTAGATTTTGGCACATAACTGTATAACTTTAAATAACCCAAAAGGAAAAAATACATGTATTTATTAAATCAAGCATGTTTGACAGTCAATCAATATAGCCATGACACTTAGTTCACATGTAGTGAAAGGATAATCCAGCCATACATACACATACACCACTATTGTTAAAAGATATTTGATATAAAAGAAACAGTAAGTGTAACGTATAATTAGAAATTTAAGCTTCTAATTAGTTTTGAATCACTATATTAAGGCAAATGTAATGTTTTATGCTGGTTGAGAGCAAAGCTTTAAAATGATTTTAGTTAAAACGTTTGTAGTATTTGAAATAAAAAGTTACAATTGAAAAAAATTAAAACCCAAGAAATATTCAAAGTATGTTGTGATTTGATTTAATAAGTAGCCCGGCATATATATTTATATGTAACAGATATTAAGTAGCAAATGCACTGTGTATCATATAAAAATTAGATCTGAACAAATTGTAATCCTTTATGAATAAGACAATAAAGTTTGATTACGTAAAAAATAGTTTGAAGCTTTAAAATAACCTATTGTTGTAAAATAATTTATTGAAATGCATCATGTTTTCTTTTTTTTAAAACTCTGTATAGGATTTTATAATGCAAATTAGAGAATAGATTTGAAAAACTTGGAAACTCGAGCACTTTCAAAGAGTTGATTATTCTTCTATACTCCTGAAGAAGAAGAATCAACTATTTGAAAGCACTTGCGTTTCTGGGTGTTATCAAATCTACTTGATTTATTTGGTGATCCTTTGTACTAATTCTTTCATCTGATATTTATTTATTTACAAACTGGACAAACTTTATCCAGGTTATGAACTTAAAAAAATGTGGGATTGAATGCTATGATAAATAATACAAAAATACTAACTTTCATGCAATTTATTTATATTATTACAGTATTCATTATTACCTCATCCAAAGTTTTGTATAAGCTTTAAGAACTCACTATGTATATACGTAAAACATAGTATACATTATGCAATGGTCAGGGTGACTTTGTGTGAAGAAGTAGTGGTGGTAGGGTTGCTTTCTGTTACCCACTTTCAACATCCATCTCTTAATGTCCTTCTACACTGTTTCACATTATTTATTGTTGATGGTCATTGGCCGCAGGAGTGTTTTACGGGATGAAGTTGTAAGGTTATGAGTCAAAGTAAGAAGTTGGTATAACTCAAGAAACTGCTCATCATATCAGTCTTATGGTGGCTGTTGTAGTATAAACTTCATCTGAGTTTATTTATTATTGCAATAGTGGCAGCCATTTTTTTTATTGCATTCCTCCACAGAGAGTACTTGCTAGCACACTGTCCAAGATGTGCAAGACATTTGTGTGCCTTCTTCCCACACTGTATATATGTTGTGTTGTAGAAAATTTAATAAAGTTTTTTTTTGGTTTGGTGTAAGGATGTTGCACTATCTATGAATGTAGTTAATGTTAACTTATGTCAAAGATAATATATGCTCAATAACATCAATAATGGGGGTGGAGGGGATTGTGACCTCCCCCTCCCAATAACATGCCGTTTATTCCAAACTATCATTCCACAATGTTTGTTTGAAAGTGGCCCAGCAACCTAGGAGTAATTAGATAATGGACTAACAGACAGAAACATAGATTTTTGTGCTTTATGTATATACCTTATAAACCTAAAAATAATGAATTAATATATGCGTTTTAATAATGTTTTTTGATGATGCTTTTATGAACTGCAACATCTGTAACACCAATAATTATTTCTTGAAATTCATTTTATACCAATTATAATTATAAAATCAACTGTTGCCTTTGTTTTTTTCCAAAACTATATAATAATGTTTACAAACAGAGTTAGAACTTGTATTTTCAATAATTGTTTGTTTTTTTCAATTTCCTTTTTTATTTATTTCTTTACAGGTAAAAATACTGGTTCCTAACAGCACAGCTGGAATGATCATAGGGAAAGGTGGAAGCTACATTAAGCAAATCAAAGATGAAAGTGGTTCATATGTTCAAGTATCACAGAAATCTAGAGATCATGCCCTGGCCGAACGGTGTATTACTGTCATAGGTGAAAAGGAAAATAATAAAAAAGCTTGTGTAATGATTTTAGCTAAAATAGTTGAAGATCCGCAAAGTGGTAGCTGTTTGAATGTTAGTTATGCAGAAGCATCTGGACCTGTAGCCAATTTTAATCCAACTGGCTCACCATTTGCTGCCACCATTCAAGGAAATAGTGGAGTGAATGCTAGCAACACAAGCTATAGTTCCAATGGCAGCCTAAATAGTCTTAGTCCAACTGTTAATAACAGCTTTGGAAGTCCACAAGGTACAGGAAATCCATCTGGAGTGATACCATTCTCAGCTGGTATGGGAATGAGTATTGGAGCTCCACCTATCCCTTCTAGTAATGTTTCCCAAATAGTTGAAAATATCAAAGCTGTGCTTGGAGGTAATGGGTATTCAGACCAGGCAACTGCAGAAATTACTGCTGCAGTGCATACTTTATCTAATTATGGAGTACTAGGTTTGGGTCTTAACTTGGGAAATACATTAAATAACATGAGTGGAACACCGGTGATGAGTGGTATGGGAATAGGAATTGGAACATCTGCTTCTAATAGTTGTGCATTTCCTCCAGGTGGATTAGCCAGTCAGAGAATCTTTAACTCAGGCACAGTTCCTGCCATGGATGGTTCCTGCCCTGTTAGTGCCTCTTCCAGTGCACCTATGGGAGGATCTTCCAATGTGTTTGGTTCCCTCACTAGTAACATAGGGAATGGTATATCTGGATTAGGACTTGGTGCAAACTTCTCTTCATCCACAGTCAGTAGATCTGGTGAAAGATATACATTTCAGACAGATCAGACTGTTTATGATCCATTTCGTCGAAACTCGCCTGCTTTGGGATCTCCAGGAGCAGCCAGCTTACCAGTGAACAATAACTCATTTGGCCTTGGTACAAGTTTCAGTTCTGGACCCACAGCTTTCCAGAAAAGCCCCACTCCAAATGATCGACAGGGTGGATTTGAATCAAGTAAGCTAGAATTTGAAGTAGGTGAGAATATAGTTGGTGCCATTCTGGGTCCAGGAGGAAAATCTCTTGTTGATATTCAGCGATTTAGTGGAGCAAACATTCAGATTTCTAAAAAAGGGATATTTGCACCTGGAACTCGTAACCGTATTGTGTCAATAACGGGATCCCCTAATTCTGTTTCCACTGCACAATATCTTATTGAGCAGCAGATTTCTGAAGAAGAAGCTAAGCGAGCTCAACAGAATTCCATGGGGACTCTCCGTTGATAGATATATTCAGTATCATTTATCAGTCCTCCCTCCTTTCTTATGTTGCATGTATTTGCCACATCCACCAGTTAGACCCTTCAGTGATTTGGCTCAACAGGGTTGTTGCAACGTGTCCACACATTCTCATTTTTTCTCACAATGCCTGCCTGAAAGAGACATATTATTGAATTTATGATCATTGGTGGTAATTATATACATATATATATATATATATATATATATTAGAGATTTAATCATTCATAACGTAATATATATTAAATAGAGTTTAATCTCTTGTGGGTTTTTGTTTTGTTTCAAAAACTACATTCAGTTCATTAATCCCATGACATTTTGCTTGTTCAGTCATGTTTAATCTATTATATATATGTGGAATTAGGTTTTTGATTCTTACCATTAGTATGGAGATGACTATATGTAAGTCAGTGTGTTTTGATATGCTGTTAATTCACAGGAAAAAACAATAGTTTCTAGGGTTGACAGTATATAACTACTGGTACTCATTATATTATTGCCATTATTGTTGGTGTTATAAGTTTGTATATACTGCATGTTCAATGTTCCTGAGCAATATTAATGCTCATCTTAGAAGCTACTGATCATAATTTTTATAAAACTGACCACCACAAATCATGATCTAATGCTACAATTCCTCCCGCAAAGAACACATTAAAATGTGTATAAATGTTAGGGAATGCTTTTTTAACTTTGTAAATCATACTGTTTATGATAATGAAGATGATTAGTAACTAAATGGTGTTCCCATACTCTGAGACGTGAGAAGTTTTTTTATGTTCAACAAAAATTGTTTTCATTATATTTTTTACAGCAGAAACTGTACTAAGTAAACTGTCAGATATATTTTAAAAAAAGCCATCGGTTGCCAAACACGTGGGATAACTAACAGCACAGGTAGGTTTTTTGTTGTGAAGCAAATATGTAGCTGCATTTTTGTTTTTGACATTTTAAGACTTTGTTGTTTATTCATAGTATTTTGTTTTCCAGTTATCAGATTAATTTCTGTTGCTAAAGTTGACCTGTTGGTGTAAATTGTATCAGCAGTTTTTCTTTCATGCTTGAAGTGAAAAGCACTGTAAAAATATTCCAGTATTTATCAAAGAAAAGTACTGTAATTAACTGTTGAAATTGTAAAAATATTAATTTGATATGTGAGTAAATAATTATGATATTATTCATTAATACTCTGTATCAGATTGGATTTCAGCAAAATCTTGGAAACCATACTATTTATATGTAATTGTAAGACATCACAAATAACAAAAAATTCTTAATGGGCTTTTTTTTTTTACTTTGTGACTTCTCACATGAATTGCATGTTATGTTTTATACATGCCTCATTATTTACCAATTTTTAATTAAACAATTCATACTTTGATGTTATGCAGATGTATAGAAAAATAAAACCGTCCTTTTGCATAGATTTTGAAAGTGGTTTCATCTACTTGATGAAACTAATGATTAGTATCACCAAGTATTGGCATTTTCTTACTAGTAGCTCCCCCCAGGGGTGAGTCAAATCATCTGAGTATATGCACTTAACGTCCTCTGTTTTCAGTTTTGTCCAATAGAAAGAGAGTTATCCTGCACTTTAGTTTGATACCTTTCCTAAGTTCACTCAAGGTTGTAAAATCATTTTGTAACAAGTATGTGAAGTCCTTTACAGATTGACTTTTTTATTGAAAGGTTAATTATATATTGTATAAATTTCATTCTCTTCTAGATACACTCTCACACATACATACATACATACTAGTGGAATGGTTTTAGAGTGACATCATTATGATGACCAACTTAACATGACAAGTTTGAAAGGGAAAAATATACAACTTTTAAAATTTCTGATAACATCATAACTTTAACAATCATATTGGCAGAGAAAAATAATACCAAAATGTTATATATCCAAAAAGGAAGGAGGAATAAATACGACTGGAAATAGTATCTGAAAAATAGCATAAAAAAAGTAAATTTAAAGTTCACTAATCTTACAAAATTCAAAGATACTTAATGAATTTTGTGTGAGCTTTGTTATTTCAGTCGAACATTTAAAATTTGTTTAAGGCTTAAGGTAATTGTTTTGTTGACTTAAGTCAGAAGTCATCGCAAGTGACAACTTTCCATGTTTTACTTTAGCCTAAAATATTGTTATGTAGTTGCAAGCAATTGCTCATGCAGAACACACTGTATATATGTGTGTGTTATACACATTAGAGCTTGTAAGTTTATATGAAAAGTGATTATGATATCATGCATTTCAGTCAATCTTATTATAATCAATTCACAAGTTTTACATAGGTATGTTCTATTTTATTGTACTTCCATAAAAATTGTTAGTCACAATATTTACAAAAAGCCTAAGTGATTCAAATACACACCTGATTCTTGCTGGTAATATAAATACATAGTAATAGAATACAATTTTTTTTTCTTTAGTTAAAATGTTGCAGTTTCTTTTTAATAAATTTATAAATACAATGTGAATGCCTATTGTAAGAGTGATAAAAATAGTTATCTGCCTGTTCCAGGCAGTCCAAATAATAAAAATATTTCAGTCTCTCCCTAGATAAATATTATTTGCACATTTAAATTTTTATTATATAATTACTCATTAACATTGTATTTTTAATTGATTAGTAACAGCTTTGTTGGTTATGGATTTGCAAAGGTTTAATAACTGGTTCTGTTTTTTACTACTTAAGTAATTCATGATTAAGAAAACTTGTAAAGTGCCCTTTATTAAAAAAAATGATTTTATGTAAACTGTGGGGCACAGAACTTGCAGTGGTAGTAGAAGAAACTAACAGTGTTCAAGATAAATATTTTATTCTCTGGAGCTCTGGTTAAGCATAAAAAATTATTTTCTTGTTATGTGTTTTATTAAATCCAACAAATATTTTATTTTCCACTTCAGAAATACTATTTATTCTGGCAACTACACAAACCTCTTATGTTAATTTTGATGAATAGCAAGATTTTAATGCCAGCACTTTTATACCCAAGATGTTTAAAAGGAGTGACTAATACAATACTCAGCCATTATTTTCAATGTAGTTTGCAAGATCTATAACAAATAAAAAAGATGAAAAAGAAAATTATTTTTTGTCATAAAACAACACAATACTGTGTGTAGCAGTTAAAGAACAAAAAATTCACAGTAAATAGAACAAACTGTCAGAAGTTTTAATATTGGAGAAGCTAGTTTTTTATAATAACAAGACTTCTAACAGTTCCATTTACTGTGTTTTTTTATTCTCTATGTCTTTTTATTTTGCAGATGTTGGTAATGTGTAAAGTTATGTTAAAGGTCAGGAGTTAATGAAAAGTAACAAAGTGAGATTGATTATCTTAATCAAGGTTATGTGTCATGGTTTAATATTTGTTTTTTTTTGTGTGCTTAGATGTTTTTAGTAATGTGATTTGATGATTCAATTTATTTTAATTAAGATCTAATCAGCTTCACATTACTTTTGTTAAATCTTTTTTTGCTTTAAATACAACATAAAAAAGAGTTATCATAAATGTATGAATTATATAACTTATTGTGATTTTTTACGTGTATAACTTGATAACAAAAATAAGACAAATTATTATTTTCTGTTGCTTTAGTTTTGTTTCTAAAAACATTTACTGTTCAAAAGAGCTATTACAGCAATGTGACATTTGAAATGGAATTATTTCTCGTGAAACTCTTGTTCAACTACTGCTAGTATGGTTTATTTTTATGTCTATTTTTAGTGTGTGGAAGAAATTTTTTAACATGATGGGTGCAGACAAGTATGCTTAATATATGGTTTTGACCAATAAAATAGCTTTGTGTTTACAGTTTGTCAACTAAATTGGTAAAAGGTATCATAACAACTGATTTGAACTGAGTTTCAAATTAAATTTTTGGTTAACAAGAACTATAGTGTATTGATAGCAATCTTAAAAATGGCCTAGAAATGTTATTTTCCAAAGTACGCTTTTTGTCACATTTTCATCATAACTTGACTAGTTTGAAGTTGTCCTGTTATTATACATGCAATTGAATATCATATTTTTAATATGAACTTCAAATTTAGTGAGGTGATAAACCTATATTAGCAGTAGACTATTCAATAATTTTTAAATTTCTCATCATCAGAACAAAAGGTGCATTTAATAAAACTTTAACTTATTATTGAGTATTATATTTCTGGTTATTCTGAATAGAAAATCTGTGAAAATAGCAATGTAACATCTCAGTGTATAGGTTATGTTTCTAAATTTTAATCTTTATTGTATTAGTTAATAGTAGCATAAATATGTGCCGAGGAGTTTGCTCTGTCAAAGTTTGTAGCAAACTTAATGTTATTCACTTCTCTTATGTAAGTTAATGGAATTAATTCTGTGTTGTGTGATACCAGTTGTTTTTAGAAAATCAAAATGTTAACATGCTGTTTCATTCTCTTGTTGGCATTTATGTTTAGTAGAAGATAGTTCAAATCATATTCCCTTTTCTCTCTCAAATCTTGTCTGGAACAGACTAAAATACTGGTCAGATGTTAAAGTTCTAAATTTAAGTTTATTTTTGAATATTCATTTGCACCTTTTTTCTTTATTTGAAACTTCTAAAGCATCATTTGTTTCAACAATAAAACTTGATTCAATCACCAATAAGGTTTTTGGATGCTGTGCATGTACATAAACCTGTTTTCTAAAATACATTGTAACAAATTTTTTTATTACAGTTGAAAGCAGTTCAAAAGCAGTGATATAAGAATAACTCTATTCTGTTATATTATACTATGATACTGATTGGATATTGTGCTATCTGATGAAATCTGATCTGATAATCAGATAGCATTTCCATCAATGGATTATATTATGCAGACAAAATACAACTTGCATGTGAGTCACATGTAATAGGTGTTGTATCATCTATCTAGCTGACTGGTGCTTACTACTACCTTCTAAACAAAGAATGGAACCACAAGTAGTCATAAAACTGACAGACATTACCCAGTTTAAATAAGTATCACTGTCACCTGTTGTGTAGCTGCTATATACTATGAATGATCATGGTAGTGGCAGAGACAGAAAAGGCAAGCACAGTCCAAACAACAATTTTGGTGATGAATCAGGTGTATAAAGCACTGTCTCACACCATCACGTGCCAATTTCCTTAAAGGGCCTGTA